TAATTGTAACGTCTGCTTTATTGGTTCATGTTCCAAAATTCAGTAGTTGGGGGTCAGAAAAACTTGGTTGTCGTTCACAAGACGTATGGATTGACATTGTACCTGGGTCCCGAAAAATTATCAATTTATTCTGGGCGTCTTTCACTCTTTTAGGTTCATTAGGAGTTTTATATATTTCAGTTTTCAGTTATTATGGGAGGAATTTTTTCTCTTTCATTTCGTCCGAATTTGTCATTCCTTTTTTGACACAAGGACTCACGCTGACTTTCTATGGAATTGCGGGTCTCTTTCTAAGTTTACATTGGTGGCTTCTAATTTTTTGGAATGTGGGGAGTGGCTATAATTTTTTTGATAAAAAAATTGAATGGTATGTTTTTTTCGTTACGGATTTCCTGGAACATATCGTCGTATTTTTCTCCGAGTTCGTATGGAAGATATTCAGTCCCTCATACTACAAGCTAACCCAAAACCTAGTAGTGGTGTCTTTTATATGCAAACTAGAGAACATGGGACCATTCCCTTGACTCCTGTTGATGATAGGACTCCATGCAACGTTATACAAAAAGCTTGGGGCTTGTCCAGATTCTTGAGTGTACCAATGGAAATCGTTCCATATTCTTGAGTATACCAATGAAAATCGATGTATCCAAACAATTTCATTTTTAATTCATAGCTTTTGAAACACTTTTTTTCTTCTTCATTCAAATTGGAAATGGCTTATTTCGTTTTCTTATTTGATTTTTGTATTCTTTTGGATTCTTTTTTCAAATTGAAGGAAAAAGAAACTAATCTCCGAATTACAAATAAAAAGAATAGCTTCTCAATTTTTATGAAAAAATTATAAATTGATATATTCTAGGCTAAGCTCTATTACTTGTATTTACTTGTAATAGAACTTATGCTTGATAGAAAGATTATTATTATATATAGTTGAAAAATGAGATGAAACTGAGTTTATTAAAGACGAAAAATGGCAAAAAAGAAAGCATGCATTCCCCTTCCATGTCTTACATCTATAGTCTTTTTTCCCTGGTGCATCTCTTTTACATTTCAGAAAAGTCTGGAATTTTGAATTACTAATTGGTGGAATATGAAAGAATCTGAAATTGTCTTGAATACTATTCAAGAAAAAAGTATTTTAAAGAAATTGCTAGAGTTCGAGGAACTATTCCTCTTGGATGAAATGCTAAAGGAATACCGGGAAACACGTTTACAAAACCTTCGTATCGAAATCTACAAAGAGACCATCCAATTGATCGAGACGAACAACCTAGATCGTATCCATACGATTTTGCATTTCTGTACAAATATAATTTATTTCCTTATTCTAAGTGGTTATTTTATTCGAGGTAATCAAGAACTCATTATTCTTAACTCTTGGGTTCAAAATTTTCTATATAACTTAAGTGCCACAATAAAAGCTTTTTCTATTCTTTTATTAACTGATTTTTGTATAGGATTCCATTCGACTCAGGATTGGAACTAATGATTGGGTCTGTCTATAAAGATTTTGGATTTACTCCGAATGATCAGATTCTATCTTGTCTTGTTTTGATTTTTCCAGTCATTTTAGATACTATTTTTAAATACTCTATTTTCCGTTATTTAAATCGTGTATCTCTGTCGCTTGTAGTCATTTATCATTCAATGAAGGAATGAGAAAACGACCCACTGATCCAATTCTAAAATTTGTTTTTTGTATAGAAAAACTAAACATTTTAAATTGAACTTATTTGTTTTCGTTTTACTCGTACTCTTCCTATATTATAGGAAAATAATTGGAGTAAATAGCAGAATCATGGATAGGGAACTGTGCTAGTAACCTACCTAATCTTATAGTAGAAATTTTCAGGTTCAATGGTTGGACCATACAAACTAGAAATGCTTTTTCTTGGATAAAGAAAGAGACTACCCGATCCATTTCCGTATTGCTCATGATATATATAATAACTCGAGCACCCATTTCAAATGCATATCCTATTTTTGCCCAACAAGGTTATGAAAATCCTCGAGAAACTATCGGTCGGATTGTATGTGCTAATTCCCATTTAGCTAATAAGCTCGTAGATATTGAGGTTCCACAAGCGATACTTCTCGATACAATATTTGAAGCAGTTGTTTGAATTCCTTATGATATGCAAGTGAAACAAGTTCTTGCTAATGGTAAAAAGGGGGCTTTGAATGTGGGAGTTGTTCTTATTTTACCAGAGGGTTTTGAATTGGCCCCTCCTGATCGTCTTTCGCCCGAGATTAAAGAAAAGATAGGTAATATGTCTTTTCAAAGCTATCGTCCCAAAAAAAAAAATATTCTTGTGATAGGCTCCGTTCCTGGAAAAAAATATAGTGAAATTACCTTTTCTATTCTTTCTCTAGATCCCGCTACTAAGAGAGATGTTTACTTCTTAAAATATCTTATATACGTAGGTGGGAACAAGGGGAAGAGGTCAGATTTATCCCGACGGAAGCAAGAATAATAATAATGTTTATAATGCTACAGCAACGGGTGTAGTAAACAAAAAAATACGAAAAGAAAAAGGTGGATACGAAATAACGATAGTAGATGCATCAGATGGACGTGAAGTGATTGATATTGTACCGTCAGGATCATAACTTCTTGTTTCAGAGGGTGGATCTATCAAACTTGATCAACCATTAACGAGTAATCCTAATGTGGGTGGATTTGGTCAGAGGGATGCATAAATAGTGCTTCAAGATTCATTACGTGTCCAAGATCTCTTGCTCTTCTTGGCATCTATTATTTTGACACTTAATTCTTAAAAAAAAACAAATATATATATATATATATATATATATATATATATATATATATATATATATATATATATATATATATATATATATATATATATATATATATATATATATATATATATATATATATATATATATATATATATATATATATATATATATATATATATATATATATATATATATATATATATATATATATATATATATATATATATATATATATATATATATATATATATATATATATATATATATATATATATATATATATATATATATATATATATATATATATATATATATATATATATATATATATATATATATAGTATATATATATATATATATATATATATATATATATATATAATGGCCAGCTTACCTACTATTACTTGTTATAAAAGATATTTCACTAATTTTTGTCCTTTTATTTTTTAATATTTTGTATTTGTCAAAAAATTGATTATATTTTTAATTTCTATTATTTTCATCTCATAGTATTTATAGTAGATATAAGACTTAGTGTCTCTAAATATAAATATTTACTTAATATTTTCTTTATTAAATGAAAGTTAATATTTAGAGCATGTTAAGTTTTTTTATTAAGACATAAGCCGTCTTTTTCTTAATTTTTTCTTGTTATATTTTTTGTTTTCTTTTATTTTATAAGTTAATTTTAAAAAATAATATATGTTTGGCAATTATATTTTAAAACATTGCATAATATTATAAATTTTCTTATTATTAATAAAAATTATATCATTTTTTCTTTTTTTTCCTTTCCAGCTAAAAATTAAAATATCTAAAACCTATTTTAATTTCATAATTTTTAAAACTCTTAAATAAGAAATAGTTTTCAATAATAAGTTTATAAAATTAAACTACCAAACAAAAAAATTATTTTCAAATTTTAAAAACAAAAAAAATAATTTTACAAAACTAAATAAACATGATCAGTACGAAAAAAAGAGCATTTAATTTAAGTAATTTAAAATTATAATAATCAATAGAAGGTTGGAAAGTAGATCACACTTCCCAATACTGGTTGTTTTTAAAATAAAATTTAAGTGACTTGAACTCACGGAATACAAATCTGAAAACGATATCATCCACCAAAAATATCCACAATGACAACAGAAATTGAACCTACAACTATTCGGTGTGAGCCAACTCTTCGTCAACCGAACTAATACCTTAACAACAATATTGTTTTTTATAAGATAATAAAATGATTCAAAATCGTCTCTCAAAAGCAAGAGTGGAGTTTGTGTAAATAAAAAAAGCAGTAAAATAATTATTGTAAACCAGAAATATTCATACTTGGAACAGACTAAAATTCTTCAATATATCACAATTTACATTAAGGTGATGCAGTAAATGACAAATCATTCAACCGTATATTGCTCCAATGTTTTTATCAGAGTTTCTTCCAGAAAATATTCTGAAATCATAAGTTTCTAGCACTGTTAAATACTCTACAAAATATACAGCGGCAGAATTATAAGAAACAAAAATCAAACGACTGGTTTAAGCAGCTTTTCATGCAAAATCTTATAAGACAGCCAATTTGCTCAAAGTTACCTGTACAGGCAAACACAAGACCAAGTTTGATAGGTACGTGAATGATAGAAACAAAATTTAAAATCAATTAACCACTTCAAAATTCAAGTCACATCCAGAAGCAAGAATGTTGCAGATATGGCACTTTTGCAAGTTTGCTGTCTTAAGCCGCAGATGAAATGCATTACCTACAATGTCAGCAACAAAGTTGAGTTGTAACAAGCTAAGTCAAGTTAAATTACCACTCGAAGGTCTATTGAAATTGGAACTGCAATATTAAACTAAAAATGCTCTAAACCACATTTTAACTAAGGATTTAAGTATTAGCAATCTATAATCCTGTTGAATGCATGAAAATTCTAACTGTATATACATTCTGCGTGACGTGAAATGTAAATTGTTCATTTGGTCTAATCCCGTTACACTTCAAATGTTGAATGAGAAATAACCAACATTAATAGTAAGTGCTATTATACCTGCAATCATACCGCAATAGAAATAGACATTGCAAACTAAACCATCCCCGTTCTGGTTCTGATCTATCATCATCCAATAAGCTAGGAAGTGCCTTGATTCAAATCACCAAGAGCCTCGTGAATTAAAACCAATTTTACCAATGATATTCTTTTCAAACTCTGAGCTGCAATTGTTTTACTTATTCCTGATCATACAGGTGAATCAACAGTGGGGCATTTCATTTTAATATCTGATTCGTGCTCCGCTGCAAAAGCTAAAGTTGATAAAAGTGCCCTTTGGCCTAAGTTTGATGCTTGTTTATGATATCCAGATACTAGGCTTCCTGAAGACTGATGTGAAACAAACGGACGGGCAAGAAGTGTGGCCGAGGTCACATTTGAAGTCTGAGAATTGTCAGACGCCTTTTTTACCGCTTGAACATTGGTTGAATCTTTCTCTAGAAACTTCGATTTTATTCGTTCTACTATAGATTGATTTTTGTCTGAAATTTCATTATGTGAGAATAGCACAGTTTGTGGTAAGTTTTGTGCAGTTCTGTCTCTAGCTTTTCCATGACCATCCTTATTCGGAGATGAAATTGAATGTTCAGACAAACCAAAATTGACTGACTGAGGCAAATTCGATATCATTCTTTCTGCAGTGGATTGAATAGGACTTTTAAAGCTGGAAACAGAACCTTTTCCAAAAGAAAGAAAGTTAATTCCCTTGGGCGTGACAGCTGGAAATTTCTTAGGAATTTTTTCTTAGGAATTTCTGAATTATTTTGACCTTTATCCGCACATGTCCCATTGTGGACAAGACTTCCTTTGTTTGGTGTTATCGTGTCTTGTTTTGGCGCACTAGATGATAAGTTACCAACATTTATGAATCTGATTCCTTTGGGTGCTGAGGTAGGCTTTGTCTGCGAAGTTTCTGTTCCCTTAGAATTGGTGAAGTGGTTTTGTTGGACAGAATTAGTGCCATGATTATTCAGTGGCGTACTGAAATTTGTATTTCCTGACGGAAGAGGAGACTTTGACTCTGGTTTAGAACCATTTGTAGGCGTAGGTATACATTGGTTGGTTGGTACCTAAATCAGAAAGAGCTCATTTTAATCCAAGTAAGGGAGAATAATTATACAACAAGTGAAAACGAATAGGATGTCGTACCTGGTGTGAAAACAAACAAGCATCACCTCTAGTACAAGAGCCATTAGAAACAATATTAGAACAAGGATACTTGGAGAGTTGGTGATCAAATGGGCAATCATCCCCTTTCATACAAGAGTGACGAGCAAAGTGAACACATGCCTGCAATGTAAAATCAATACAGAGCTCTGTAAATTTCTCTGGGTTTTGCCACAACATGATGAAAAGAAGGTTGAACTATGTTTAGCCTATTTTGCTTTTCCAAGTGAAATTCCCTAGTGTATGATTTTTTTGGTTTTATTTCATGTTGGAATTAGTGTCGAATATGTAGAGCATTTGATTTAAGGCCCTCTAATGCATACTACATAAGGACTAAAATGAATATTACACACATATTACAAAGATTAATCTCAACATGAACATATTTTATAGGGACTAAAACAAAAATCAAGGACAAAAGTAAAAAGTGGTATATCTGCAAGGATGAAAAACAAAAATGTACAGAGACTAAAATCAAAATGTGGCATATTTGCAAGGACCATAAACATATTTAAACCTGTAGATAATAATTGAGAGTAAAATTTCAAAGACCAATACCTTGGACTTTGTTTCAGGAACAGTATCATGAGAGAATTTGCACTTGTCACCCTGTCAAATGTTTTGGTCAGAGCAGGAGAAAAGTAAGAATTATTTGACAATTTTCAATAAATAGATTATATATACATCTACATATTTTATAAATTAACAGGCTCACACAAACAGATACTGCACGAATTGCAAAAATATACTACTCTTACAATAATGATCTTGATATGCTACCTTTGAGTTTTCACACAACCACAAAAAAACTTATTTACAGGGTTTGGATATATTTAAATGTCAAATTATATAACTGAAAATGAAGAACATTTACAAGATTTTTAATTCAAGTTATGAATATGGAAATCTTCTGAGGTAACAAACAAATATAGACATGAGATTACACTATCTTATTATATAAATGAACTTCATGCAGGTTCAACTTCAACATTAGAACTAACATAAAGATATCAGTTATCTTCTCAAAATTCAAAAAGTAAAATGAAGCATCAAGATTAGAATAAAGAATTCTCCTATGCAACATGTAGCAGTACAATCAAAAACTAGAATAAAGAAGATATGATATAAAGTGAAAAATAATTCATCGTTCAATATAATTGACTTCATAACAACCTCATTGCACCTTCCTTTCATATAATGGCGACAATATGTGATGGTTTTTGGTTTCTGTACTGGAATCAACTTCAACCTTTTAACACCTAGTTCTCTGTTCTTTTCTGCTCGGTTCTTTCGATACTTCTTCTACAAAATAAAATTTATCAAATAAAGAAATCATCAGTCATATAAAAACATATAGAATTAAGGATTATTCTTCAAAAATAACATATTATTAATTAATCGATGTTGAAATGACTTCAAAGGATGTTAAATTATCTGGCTTTAAAATCCTTTGACAAGTTAAGAGCATTAATACAAAATAAAGGAAGATATCATAGCAATAATATTAGAATAATACCCTCTTTTTATATTTCTTCTCTTGAGAACCAGGACCACGTTTACTTTTACTGGCATCAACCATCTCCTGCAAATGATCAATAATCAACTATAGAAAAATAAACATCACTTGCCTTAAAATCATTACATAGTTGTCTGCATTTTGAAACTCTGCAAAGGATGCCTAAATATTTGGTTGACCATAAAATAATTTCTCACATGATTCTGATCTTTAGTTAATTTTACCCAAAAAATGAAATAGAGCAAATAAATTTGCAAAATAAATGCAAAGTGAAAACCATATGAAGACTTTCCTTCAAAATAAAGTTTCTCGAATGAATTTTACAGTATTATTCTTCACTAGCAACAAATAATAACTGAGGTTGAAGTTTACATAAAAGATGGTTGAGTTCAGCATGAGAATCGATATCAAAAGTTAGGAAGAATAACACAGTATTCAGAATGAAAACCCGAAGAAAAAAAATAAGAATACCTTCTTTCTATCTTCCTCCTCCTCCGAATCAGGAACATATTTTCGCTTTCTACCGGGATCAATTACCTCCTGTCAATGATCAATAATTAACCAAATAAATATCAGCATCAATAGCCTTGAAATTATTAAATAATTTGGATAAATGATGGAACTCTGCATAGGATGCCTAAAGATAAGAAAAATATGATGATCTGTAAACTAGTTTTTAATGTAATTCCGAACATGAATTAAACATTCTGGAAAACTAGAATAAGGAAAAGAATTGGCAAAATAATGTGAATCAAAAACTATGTAAAGACCTAACTACAAAATAACGTTCATCAAATAAATGATGAGTCATAGGTTGCAAACATGCATAGATCTGTTATTTACTCTTCAAAGCAGAGAGTAATAGCAACACCATCTCTTTCCAATACAATCTTATTTTGATGATAAACTAATTCTTAACATTATTCCTATATTAAGTAAATTCTCCCAAACAAACTCATTGGACAATAAGTTAAAAATAACAAAAGGAGGGATTATCATGGAATATCTTCCATTCATCACTGGCGGTGAGTATAACATAACGTAAGGTAAGTAAATTAAAGTGATGTTATCGGTTTATATACCCAGATAAAATCCATACCTGTACAGCAGACGAGTTACCAAGATCTTTGATAGCGGTTTCTTCCATGAATCCTTTGTGCAAGACTTGCTTTGGGGTTAAATATGTTGGTATGGCATTGATAGTCCAAGGTTCTACAAGCCCATTGTTACCCATATTGAAGGGGGATGCCTTGTTTCCAAATGAATTCCCGGGTTTCTGAATCTCATCCATTTTCATCTGTTCTGAAATTGTAGCATCCGCGGAAGACACGTCAAATGTGTTTTCATCCACCATTACAAACTCTCCAGAAATTTCCCCCTCTTCTAGATCTTCTTCAATCAGAAGATCGGAAGAAATTGTAGCATCTGTTACACAAATTAACTTCTTTAATTTCTCTTTATTTTGTGTTTTGTTTTTATCTTCCATAATTGTTGAATCCAGTAATCCAACATCTTCTTCTGTCATATTCAATGTTTCAATAGTCTTATCGTGATCTAAAGAACTATGAGCTACTTCATCAACCTGATGACCATACTGTTCTTCCTTCTCAAATTCACCCTCTTGTATTGTAGGAAGCAATCCCGCTATAGGAGAAACCGGTTTCACCAATTCTGTTTCCTTTTGTTGACTATCATGATTTATACTTACTGTACTGATTACAGAATCAGAAGCTTGTCCATTTGTTGACTCCAACACATGAAAGACTTCTGAATCAACTTGATTAAGCTCCACAGGTACCTGAGATTGTAGCTCACTTACAACACCAGACGTGTTTGTACCACAATGCAGAAATTCAACATGCTCTACTCGGTAATCCATTAAATCAACTTCACTACCACTATTCTGTTTCTCGCAGTTCAAAGGGATTAAACCATCATTGCAAACAGGATCTTCAGTCCCTTTCACAACAAGCTCCAATTCATCCATTATTTGTTCCAAATGAAAACCATTTGTTAGTGAGGATGGTTCATCTATTCCCATCAGAGAGTCTTCATCGTCAAGGACAATTCCATTGACACTAAAAGCCTTGCTCCTGTCTCCAACGCTCTCAACGATCTCATGAACATCACATATCTCCTTCAAGGGTATAGAACCAACCGGCACCTGTCCCTGGCTTTCTCGTCCCGTTCCAACATTGCCATTATCTTGAAACAGGAACAAAAAAAATGGTAAATAAACATGACAAGTGCAACAATTAAATTGAAACGATCATCAAATTGATCCATAACAACAACATAACATAATCTTAAAGAAAACATCACAAGTTTATTTTTCAAATCGTAGCAGGATTATTACCGGATTGAGTTGGAACGGTGGAAGGAGAAAGATGAGAGAAAATGCGGACAAGGGAGCAATAAGTTTTGCTACGGAAGTGAGATCGACGATAAGGAGGAAAAGCCATTGGAAATTCAGTATCCAATATTCATCTTCCTCCATTGCAGAAAATTTGTGAAACTATCATTGTTAGGGTTTTTCCCTAAACCTCACGGCTCCGATTACTTTTTCTTTGACGGCGACGGCGACGACGAGCACTATATTAAAGGGCAAGAATCAAATTTTTTATTAGGAATGAGGAATACAGTACAATGTGAAAAGAAAAGAATTTACAGATTAATATTGTAGTAATAGCAACCAAACATAATATTTTTTTAATTCTTGTAATTCAAACAATTACAGAAGTATAGATACATACATCTTAAACGAAGAAAATGATAGTTACTTTTCTTTCAATCTTAAACATCGAAACCTGAAAGAAAAAAAACATAAAAAAGCAAAAGAATGGCAAACCAAAAGATAGACGAAGAATATTGTTTTCTTTAATAACCTTCTACAGACAATAAATTATGAAATATCAATGATATCAAATGGGACCTAAAAATATAAAATTGACTCAATTTTCAGAAAGAAAAAAAATCAATTTTTCGATTTTCTAAAAATATTCAAATTTTTAATTTTTCGAAAAAACTTAATTTTTTCGATTTTCTTAAAAAATTCTTTTCCAAAAAAAAATCGATTTTTTGAAAAAAAAAACTTGATTTTCTAAAAAAATCGGATTTTTTGAACAAACTCGATTTTTTGATTTTCTGAAAAAACTCGACTTTCTAAAAAAATTCGATTTTCCAAAAAAAATCAATTTTTCGATATTCCGAAAAAACTGTACTCTTAGAAAAAACTCGATTTTCCAAAAAAAATCGATCTTCTATAAATAAAATACTAATAAATAGATAAAATCAAATGCATAAGCAGATATACCACTACTAACAAGAAGCTAAAAACAGATACTCTTGGTTAACAAGGTTATTCTTAATAAACACAAATTAAAAAATCTATAAATTTGCAATGTTAAAAAGAAATAAACGAAAAAAATAAAATTGAATTACGAAAAAAATAGCTCTAAATATTAGTTGTAAACTGGATCGAAAATATTTTAAAAATTCTTTATTAAAAAACAGTTTATATTAGTGTAATAGAGATTAAACAATGGAGAAGATGGAGATTAAGAAATTAAAGAGGAAAGAAAAATTAATGACAAAAAGTAAAGAGATGAAGTTAAAGAGATTGTACTAGAGATTTATACAGGTCTCACCTACCACTTTGTCCGCTTCTGTCTTCCAAGAGTTTCCTCTTAAGAATTCCACTTAAATATATCTTGAACTTTTTGCAGGATATGTCCATGAAGCTTATTACAACATACACAATACAGATATCCTCAAACAAAATAGAATATTTAGCAAGCTAAACTCACTAACTAAACAAAGATTTTAATCCGTTAATCTCCAGAGTCAAACTGAGATTTTCAAAAGCTATTCTCAAGAACCAAACAAAGATATTGCTCAAGAGAACCACACCTTTGAACAAGAACAAATGCAACATAACACAAGCACAACCAAAATATCACAAGTATTACGCAAACAAAAATACATGTCACTAAACAATCCTTCAACCTGTTGAAATATTAAATCAGATTAGATTAGATTTGATTTGATTTAATATTTAATATAATCTAAGTTGTGTTAGCCCAAGCCCAATTAGGGTTGTATATAAATAGTCATAGTGTGTATCATTATTTGTACAATTGAATAATACAAATCCTTATTTTCCTTTATTATTCTCTCTTTCTCTCCTCATTAAAAGTGTCTCACGCACTAACAAATTGGTATCCAGAGCTTCCGGTTATTTTTCTTGATCAAGTTTTCAAGAATTTCACGTCAGAGATCATTTTTCTAGGGCAAGTAAATCAACCGCTGCAAAGATGGCTAGTGATAAGGGCATTCCAAATTCTCTTCCAATGCTTGACGGTAAAAATTGGATCCAATGGAAAAAACAGATGCAATCCTTATTTGGCTTCCATGAAACCCTAGAAGTGGTTACCGACGGTGTTCCGGCATTGGCTACAAATGCAACCGACGAATAGAAAAAAGCCCACAACAAAGTCAAGAAAAAAGATTGCAAGGTTGCTTATTGCATTCAAACGGTTGTCGATGCTGCTAACTTCGACAGAATCTCTCATGCTGAAACAACGAAGAAGGCATGGGATATTCTGGTAAAATATTTCGAAGGAGGTGAGAAAGTCAATGTTGTCAAATTACAAACCTTGCGTCGACAATATGAGTTGTTGTCCATGGAAGAAGATAAAAAAAGTTGCAGAATATGTGTCGAAGGTTCAGAAACTCGTCCATCTCATGAAGGGTTATGGTGAAACCATTATTGATAAGATGATAGTTGAGAAGGTAATGAGAATGTTGACCTCTCACTTTGATCATGTTATCGTAGCTATTCAAGAATCCAACAATCTTGAAGTTCAGGACTCGATACAGGCACTGCAAGCTCAATCATGGAAAAAAGATGGTGGTTCCAACAAATTCAAAGGCAAGTTCTAGAAGACTCATGACAAGGAGTCTTGGTTGAATTCCTATAAGAATAAGGTCGAAGATAGATCTTCTGAATCCTCGAAAAGGGGAGGAGGAAACTATCAAAAGGACAAAGAAGATAAGAAAGGTATGCAGTGTTATAATTGTGAAAAGTGGGGATACTTGGCCAAGAACTGCTGGTACATAAAAGATAAGGGATCGAAAGACAAGGACAAAGGAGCGAACCTTGCACGCCAAGATTCAGATGACTCTGAAGGTGGTATGATGGTTATGGGTGCAGTTGCAGATAACCATGTTAAATCTAATATCTGGTTTCTTGACTCAGGTTGCTCGAACCACATGACTGGTTGAAAGGAGTGGTTGGCAGATTTTGATGAGTCGAAGAAGAGCAAGGTAAAACTTGTTGATAATAGTTTGTTGCAAGCAGAAGGTACTGGCAACATAGTCTTTCAAATGAGTAATGGAGAGAAAGATATGATCAAAGATGTGCTCTATGTACCTGGAATGAAATTCAACTTGTTAAGTGTTGGACAACTAGTTGAAAAAGGTTTCTCAATTGTCATGAAAGATGGAGTTTTGAAATTGTTCGACACTAAGAACAATTTGGTTTTACAATCTCCATTGTCGAAGAACAGGACATTTAAGACTGTGATCAGTTCGACAGAAGTTCAATGTTTGAAAACTATTGTCGACCACAAGGATAGTTGGTTGTGGCATTTGAGGTTTGGACATTTGAATTTTCGATCACTTAATCAACTGATTACTCAAGATATGGTTACTGGTATTCCAAGTCTTGAGATGCCTGAAAAACTTTGTGAAGGTTGTTTAGTGGGAAAGCAATCCAGAAATTCTTTCGTTTCGACTATGTCAATGAGATCATCCTGCATTCTCAAAGTGGTGCATTCAAATGTATGTGGTCCATTTGAAGAACATACAATTGGTAGAAACATATATTTTGTTTCCTTTGTCGATGAGTTTAGTCGAAAGTTATGGATCTATGTGATCAAATAAAAGGACAAAGTATTCGAAATCTTTAAGAGATTCAAGATACTTGTCGAAAACCAGAGTGAGAAGAAGATCAAAGTTCTACGAACAGATGGAGGTGGCAAATACACATCCAAGATGTTTAAAGATTTTTATGCAGAACATGGTGTTGATCATGAGGTAACTGCTCCTTACACTCCTCAACATAATGGAATTGCTGAAAGAAGAAATAAGACCATATTAGATATGGCAAGATGCATGCTGAAGCAAAAGAATTTGCCAAAATATTTATGGGGAGAAGTTGTTTCGACTGCAGTTTATATTTTGAATAGGTGTCATACTAAGATATTGAAGAACAAGGTTCCTGAAGAAGTGTGGAGTGGAAAACGACCATCAGTAAGTCACTTGAAGGTGTTTGGCTCTATGTGTTACAAGCATGTTCCTGATGCAAGGAGAATGAAGCTTGATGACAAGAGTGAACCTATGATTCTGGTAGGATATCATAAAACTGGTGCATATAGACTATTCAATCCAGTTAATGAAAAGATTGTGTTGAGTCGAGATATTGTGATTAATGAAAATTCTGTCTGGGATTGGAATTCTAGCAATTCAATTAACAAATCATTAATGAACTTTGATTTCGACGAAGAAACTAATGAAGTAGAGGTCGAAGGAATTATTGAGAATCCAGTTGAAGTCGAAGAAGAAGCGGTTTCTGACACTCCCGTCACAGTCGAAGTCGGAGAGGTTGTGGCTAAAACAAGCTAAAGACCTCAAAGAAATAGAGTTCTTCCAATAAGACTTCGTGATTATGAAGTGATGGGTGATGATGAAATCACACCAGATGGAGAATTAGTTCATTTTGCTTTACTTGCAGGTGCTGAACCAATCAACTATATCGAAGCTTTAAAGATTAACAAGTGAAAGTTAGCTATGGTCGAAGAGTTACAGGCAATCGAAATAAACAATACGTGGGAGTTAGTCGAATTTCCAACATATACAAAGCTATCAGAGTAAAGTGGGTGTTCAAGTTGAAACACAATGCAGATGGGTAAATAGCAAGACATAAAGCAAGATTAGTAGCTCGGGGTTTTCTTCAAAGATCAGGACTTGACTACTCTGAATTATTTTCTCCAGTAGCAATATTAGAGACTGTTCGACTAGTAGTAGCATTGGCATGCAACCAAGGCTGGTCAACATTTCATCTAGATGTGAAATCAGCATTTTTGAATGGTCCTTTAGACGAAGAAGTTTATGTCACATAACCTCCTGGGTTTGTGATTCAGAAGGAAGTGAGTAAAGTATATAGATTGCACAAAGCGCTCTATAGCCTCAAGCAGGCACCTAGGGCATGGAACAAGAAGATCGACTCATACTTAGTCGAATTAGGATTTATTAAATGCAAATCATAGTATGTGTTTATGTTCAGGTTGTAGCACAAGATATAACAATCATCTGCTTGTATGTTGATGACTTGCTAGTAACTGGAAATAGTTTGGAGAACTTGTCGAAGTTCAAAGAGCTGATGACGAAGGAATTTGAAATG